TTTTTAATAGCATTCATTTGTGAATTGGTAAAACGTTTAGGACTATGAAAAAATATCATCAAATTTGAAAAAATATTCATGAATTCCAAACGTGTCCATGAAATTTAAAAATATTCATGAGTTCAAAAAATATGAACAAATTCAATACTTTTTGTGAGTTAGAAATTCAATACCAGAATAAACATAAATAAAAATTGGTATAACAGAATAAACATAAATACCAGAATAAACATAAATAAATATTCATGAGGACTAGAACAGAAGAAATATCATTTCCATATGTCGAAATACAATCGAGAAATGAAGACTACGATTTAAATACAATCGATCTTAGCTAGCTATCTTTTCACAATCTTCTTACCCTTCTTTTTCGCAAATGGAGTTCTTCTGTTGAACGAACGTCCTTTAGGTAGGGTGGTCCTGCTTCTTCTTGTGGTGTATGTCACTTCATCGTCGTCGTCATGTTCCATCCTCGGGTCGCCGTACTTGTCGAAGTCTTGCTCATTGGCGACTCCATCCATTCCGATGATCTTCCTTTTGCCTCTCCTCACGACAACACGACTGGACTTTGACGGGTCGGTAATGAAGAAGCATTGGTCCATTTGGGAGGCCAGTACCCATGGCTCATTTTTCGCGTTGACGTTTGCGCCCGCGGTCTTGGATTTGGCTTCGGGTATAACCATGGTGGTGAAATACCAGTCTTCTTTTAGGACACTCTTGGCCCATCTGACACGGAACATCGGGACCTTCTCTCCAGCGTAGCTCAGCTCCCAGATCTCCTCGATCCTTCTGTAGTATCTTTCCTTGTCATTATCGGTGTAGGATTCCATCGTTACCCCGGAGATCTGATAACCATCGCTCTTCATGTCCTTGTCCTCGATGTACAATGTGTAGCCGTTGATATCGTACGCCTCATAGGTCATCAGGTTGTGCTCAGCGCCCTGTGACAAGGCGGATATAAGTTTTTCTTCCACGGAAGAATCCTCATGTAAAGGGTACGACAGAAGCTTCTCATTGAACCAACGCATGAAATATGAGTTGTGCTCTTTGATTATATCTTCGTCCGTCCTCTGTTGGCCTCGGTCATTGTACGTCTTCTCAATAAAGGTTTTATGCTCTACCATCCAAAGATCGACCACGTCTATGTGTTGTAGCGCGACTAGGTTTGCTCTTTCAAAGTCGGCGAGTCGACCCTCGAAGTCGACATGCATTTCGTGACGACCATCACGGTGACCCCATCCAGCGAGCCTGCCGTGGTGCCTGTTGACGGGCAGACCAACAGGGTTCTCGATGCCTAGATAATTCATGCGGTAGGAGATGCACTCTTCGGTCAGAAAGCCCCTGGCTATGCTTCCCTCTGGACGTGACATGTTGCGAACGTATCCTTTGATGACACCATTCATCCTTTCAAACGACATCATGCTGTGCAGGAACGTCGGCCCGAGTTGGATGATATCCTCCACGATATGGACCAGCAGATGCACCATAACATCGAAGAATGCGGGCGGGAAGTAAATCTCAAGCTCACATAGTATCACCACGATCTCTTCCTGTAGCCTTCTGAGTTGCCTCACGCCAACCAACTTCCGAGAGATGACGTCGAAAAAGTTGCATAGGCCAAATAGCGTTTCACAGACGTGCGCGTCCATGATCCCATGGATTACAACTGGAAGTATCTGCGTCATCAGCACGTGACAGTCATGAGACTTCATCCCGCTGAACTTCTGCTTCGCTGAGTCTAGGTATCTGCTTATCTTCCCCGCGTAACCGTAAGGAAGTTTTACTCCTACGAGGCAGGTGAAAAACTGCTCGATCTCCTCCTGACTTAGAGTGAAGCACGCGGGAGGGTAGTCATTTCTGGTCTTCTTGGCCTTTTTGCTTTGGCGATGACTTTCCGTGTCCTGCTTCGCCTCACCATCATCATCATCATTAGCGTGAAGCTCCTCCCTGATGCCCATTGATTTCAAGTCTGCCCTTGCTTTCGGCCCATCTTTGGTCCTCTCTGGCATGTTGAGCAGGGTACCAAGCAGACTCTCGCACACGTTTTTCATGATATGCATGACATCAAGGCTATGAGGCACACGGTGGATCTTCCAGTATGGCAAGTCCCAGAAAACAGACCTCGTTTTCCATACCTTCAGCAGCGACTCTGGCGCCTTTCGCTTCATTCCCGGCTCCGGGCACTCTTTCCAATTTTTCAACAGCTCGTCTATTTCCTCGCCGCTCCTCGTACGGGGGTGTCTTCGGGGTTCGGTTTCACCATCGAACAGATCCTTGTGTTTTCTCCATGGGTCATCGTCGCGAAGCAACCTTCGATGTCCCATGAACACGGTTTTTGAAGACCCGGGATCTCTATCTAGCTGGCGATACGTTGTGTCATCCATGCACCTGACGCATCCAGAAAATCCATGGACCACCTGCTCCGCGACATATCCGTAACCGAGATAGTCGTGCACCGTCGTGAGCAGTGCGGCTCTCATAGGGAAATATTCTTTCTCTGCAGCATCACACGTATTGGTTGGCGTTTTCCACAGCGTGTCTAGCTCCTCTTTCAGCAGCCCCGGATACAGATTGATGTTGTTCCCTGGTTGTTTCAGCCCTTCAATTAGCATACCCATGTGAATATACTTCCTCTTTATACACAACCAGGGGGAAGGTTGTACATCTACATAAACACAGGCCAGGTGCTATGTGTGCTTCTCTGGCTGCCAAACGGATTGACTCCATAGGTGCTCGCGCCCAACACGATGTTCCTTGGATCGTCCCCAAATTATGGTTGTTCGAAATTCAACGCTTGTCACTGGCTCGCATCCTTAGGGTGACTCAACATCTTGTCTTTTTTATTTATCTCCGGATCATTTCCGTCATCTTCTCGCTTCTTCTCCTCCCTATCCGCGTGCCAACGCAGGAGCTTTGCTAGATTAGGTCCGCGAAATACCGCTGCAGACGAGGAGTGAACGGAAAGTACCACACCACTTTTCGAGGAGCTTTCTTCCTCTTTTTGTATTGAGTGACGCCGCACACCGGACATATGGTAGACGCCGCGTGCTCGTCCCGATAAATGATGCAGTTGTTCATGCACACATGGTATTTCACGTGCGGTAAATCTAGAGGACGCATGATTTTCTTCGCCTCCTCGAAACTGGTCGGGCATTTGTTCCCCTTGGGAAGACGTTCATGCCAGAATGACATATTCTCGTCGAAGCATGCGTCAGTCATTTTGTGTTTTACCTTCATCTCCAGAGTCATGAGCGTTACTTTCAGGCGGGTATCCTCAGGCCTGCATCCTTCATACAATGGAGTAACCGCATCTATCTCCAATTGATCTAGCTTGGCTTTCTCTCGGGCGGCAGCTTTTGCGTTATCCGTCTGCTTGAGAAGCAGCTCTTGAATATGAGGGTCCTGCACCCAGCCCATCGATGGTCCATCGTCGTCTGCTCCGGCATCTTCATCTTCATGATCATGCCCTTCGTCTGCTCCGGCATCTTCCTCATCATCATGTCCGACATCTTCTACATGATGAATGTGTACTACATCTACTTCGTGATCATGTCCTGGAGATTCTTCGTCTTCTCGCCCACCCTCGTTGCGGTTGTCTTGCTGCCCTTCCTCATTTCTTGCCCGGCCCCCATGGACAACTTCATAATCATCTTCATCACCTTGCCACCGATAGCCATCCATGAAACCACGCAACAGCAGGTGGTCCCGCACCTGTACAGAATCCGGGTCCATAAGGCTCCTCAGCTTGCATCTTCGACACTGACATCTTCTCCATCTTATTCTTTTGAAGCATCCCGGCCTTCGCGGAGCTCAAAAACCTATTCAAGATGCCTTCGGTCATAGTGCGGACCATGGTCGCCTGCGGGGTAGAGCAAAACGATAGTTTAGAACCCAAAAAAATTGGCATGACTTTGCCTAAAAATAGGACAAAAAGGAATGTATAGTGCCAAATTCTCGCCGAAACGGAAATGAATCAACATTCCGGTAAAATATTGGCAACTATCGCATTTCAAATAGCGGTACCTGCAAACACAAACATATGCAACACCACAAACATACGTGGATCTAGGCCATAAAAAGTGCATGTGCATGTTGTTGGAGGAAGAAAAAGTAGATCTACAATATAAAGAAGCTTTTCCCTTCCTTACCTATCAAAAAAAGGAAATTTAACCACTTAATTTGGGTGAATTTATGGTGCAAATGAGGTGAGAAGGAGGAGGCAGCCGAGACAAGCTTGGAGGAGGAGGTGGAGAAAATGAAGTGGGGAAAGTGAGTGTGGTAGGTGGATATCCAAAATATCTAGCTGGTCTCAGGTTACTAATGGCGCACCACCTAATAATGCACTATTAGTTGGTGCGCCATTACTATTTATGCAAAAAAATATAATTGTTAGTAGTGGCGCACCTTGTTTGTGGTGCGTCATTGCTAGTTTGAACTAGTAATGGCGCACTCTACCCTGGTGCGCCATTACTAATTTTAAAAAAAAAAGTAAAAGAAAATTGTTAGTAGTGGCGCACGAAGTGTGTGGTGCGTCATTACTAGTTAAAACTAGTAATGGCGCACTGTGCCTTGGTGCGCCATTAATAGTTTTGGAAAAAGAATTGTTAGTAATGGCGCACCGTGTGTGTGGTGCGCCATTAGTAATGAGGACACTAATGGCGCACCTGTATCCGGTGCGCCACTGCTATATAGCATTGACGCACCATATATATGATGCGTTATTAATGTCCATATTAGGTATAGCCTTTTTCTTAATAGTGTCGGGGCGAAGGCTTATGGGGACGGAGGTTGAAGATGAAGCCAAGGAAGGATAAGATGCCAGATCTGACAGAGCCCAGATCGGCCGAAAATTCAGCCGGCGCGCCGGCGCAGAGTGCTGGCCAAACCCTAACCTAGGTCACTCACAACAGCTACTTAAAAAAAGGTTCACTCACAACAGAGGAAAGCGGCGGCGGCGGCGGCGGCGAAGACAGAGAGCGGCGTCGGCGGCGGGAGAAGAGATGCAGATGGATAGCGGGCAGATCTCGTCCGTGGGCAGGGAGAATAAGGATTTGCTTGACGCTCTTTATCGTCACCGCGAGATCCTAAGGCTCGAGACCAATTTGCTGAGGGGAGAAATCGCGTCCCGGAATCTGGCGACCGTTGCTGGGAAGAAGGCCTATCTGAAGAGTCATTCCGACGGAAGATCACTCTCCGGCGCACCATCTCAGTTGGTCGAGCAGTCGTCCGTCCATCAGATTGCGGATTTGCCACTGGTGAGTTTGCCCTATCTTGTTCCTAATCAGGAGGGGGCCCTCGATCTGCTCTTGCACGAGACGCACAAATTCGCCTACCGGCTCCAATCTCTGAAGAAAGAATTCGGTGTCACCATCCCTCTGGAGAAGCTCAGATTGCTGCTTCTCCTCTCGCAAGAATGTTTCAGAATCTCCAAAACCATAGGGACGCATGGATCGCCAGTTTCTTGTGAATCTTCTGAGGATGCTGAAATTTCTCTCTTCAATGAGCGCCGTATCTGCTGGGAAAATACTTGGGGCAGTCCTGTGTTTAGGTGTGGCAGCTTCAACGACATAAGTAACTTCATCTTGTTACTCAGCTTTGCTTCTTCTTGTACATTAGAAAATATTCTAGTCCCTTGAATAACGGTTTTCTAGATTTATATAACACTACCCACATTGATGCTGCAGCCACACTGTCTCCTATGTACTTCACGCACTCTGCACCCCGTGTCATCGAATCCACTCGCTACATCACCAAGGCCTTGCAGATCTACTCCTTCAAAATCTCTGACCTAAATGGCTACTGGAAGTGGCCACTCTGTGTGTACGGCGTGGTCGCTGCTCGAGACGCTGTGGACTGTAACCGCAACCTTCTCTTCTCTCGCTCCAGGGCTAACTGCCAAGTAGTCACTGAAAAGGTATGTATGCTATGCAATGTTTTTTCCCCTTCCTCTTCCATGCATGTGATCTTTTGTAATTATACTAGCAAACATAGAAACTTAATATGTCGATATGGCTCAGCTGGTTCCTAAGTAAGAAAAGCATAGCTTGATTATTATTACTCTTGGCTGAAAACAACCTGATCGAAGCAACACATTTCTTTTATCTGGTTGCTACACTTTACAATTCTACCTTCGGTAATATTGAACAGATTTCCTTCCTTCCTCCTAAAAATCACATGCCCACCTTCATGTGATTGTCCACACACATCTATATGGATGCAAAACAATTATATATTTGATGCCTTTGTACCACAATGATGCAACTTGAATGTTCAATTGGGTGTCTGGCTTCTACTTTTTTAGTCAATGAGCACACATCTATATGGATGCAAACAATTATATATTTGATGCCTTTGTACCACAATGATGCAACTTGAATGTTCAATTGGGTGTCTGGCTTCTACTTTTTCAGTCAATGAGCACACATCTATATGGATGCAAACAATTATATATTTGATGCCTTTGTACCACAATGATGCAACTTGAATGTTCAATTGGGTGTCTGGCTTCTACTTTTTTCAGTCAATGAGATACAATATTCAGTTAACAAGATCCAATATTTTGGCGTCTTTCTAGGCAGGGCCAGCCCTGTTCTTCTAGGGGCCCCTGGGCGATCGACTATTAGTGAGAAAAGATGCTAGATTGCATACCTGTATATATCCAAATTACTTTTTGATTTAAACATGGGATGAAACATCAACAACTAAAGTTTCATTTGCAAATTAAGGTGTAAATAAGTGAGGAAAATATCCAAGACGGCACAAGTTTCAGCTACGGACTCTTGATTCCAAATAAATGAAAATAGGCGTTCTAATGGAAACAAAGAGGAACAAACATGCTAACCAACTACCAAGTAGCCTCTAAGAAATATGTGATACAGATAGACTTTTCTTAGTACACATTCTTACAAGCAAAGAACAGGAAGACCGAAGACATCAATCTGACTATGAACCTGTGTCCAGCGCTCCTGTTTTCCTCAAAGTAGGACCTGCACAAACAGATTGTAGAAGTAAAAAATAGTGATTCAGTAGAAGCAAGAAATAGACTACTAACAGTAGAGTGTTCATTGATTAAAAGAAACAGTAGAGTGTTCAGAGTGGAAATAATTTGAAACTTACACCTTGAACCACCAGGCTAGCTTTTGTTTGGGTTGTTGCAGATTGATATATCTGCAACTCTTGTGTCGTTGATGCTGGGATGGGAACTACTTGTAGGAGGCCATAAGAGCTGTGAAATTAACAGTGAATGGAAAAATCGTGGTCAAAGGCAAAAGGCATTGATTACTGTAGTTCTTTGGAAATTGGAATCTAATAAAGAAAGAGGGAAGAGGAAAGGAAATGTCAGCCGTGTGTGTGCATTGTGATTGAGGCCCCGTTTGGTTCATAAGTCCTAGGACTTTTTCTAGTCCCAACTAAAAAGTCTCTAGTCCCTAAAAAGTCCCTTCCTGTTTGTTTCCAGAGACTAAAAAGTCCCTAGTCCCTTCCTAGAGGTTATTAAATGACCATGTTGCCCCTAGTATATAGAGAAATAACAATCAAACAACATCATGGGGTGGCGGGCCAATGAATGCATGGAGGGGCATTGTTGGAAAAGTCCCCAAAAGTCCCAAAAAAGACTCACCTTGAGAGTCTTCTTCATTTAGTCTCAAATGCCTAGTTTAGTCCCTAAAAAGTCCCTCCCGTTTGACAAAAAGGTCTCTAAAAGGGACTTTTTCTAGTCCCTACACAAAAAAGTCCCTGGAAACAAACACCCCCTGAAGCAACGCTAGGATGGTTAGGTAACTCCAAACTGGGCCTGGTAGTTAATAACTAGTTGCTAATGGGCTGTGTTGTAACTAATGTGTACATGGTCTGGGCCCTTTCTGGGTGCGGGCCCTTGGCCGTCGCCCTTCTTGCCCCTGCCCAGGGTCGGGCCTCCTTCTAGGAAAGACATCCTATCTAGCTAGCTACTTGAGCATGCACCGGCGCTTAAAAAGAGACATCCAAGTCAGAAATAAAGATAAGAGGAAAAAAAAGTTCTAGCAGGAGCAAAACACCTAGTGCGTGCACCCGAGCAAAAAGCAGGTACTCCCTCCGTTCCTAAATATTTGTCTTTCTAAAGATTTCAACAAGTGACTACATACAAAGCAAAATGAGTGAATCTACACTCTAAAAATATGTCTATATACATCCGTATGTGGTAGTCCATTTGAAATCTCTAAAAAGACAAAAAAAATAGGAACGGAGGTAGTAGCATGCAGATTGACTATGCCTATGCATCTAAACTAAATAAGTAATACTTCCTCCGTCCCAAAATTCTTGTCTTAGATTTGTCTAGATGCGGATGTACCTAATACTAAAACATGACTTGATACATACGTATTTAGAAAAATCTAAGACAAGAATTTTGCGACGGAGGGAGTATGTAGTTTGGTTAACTTTGCTGTGTGAACATGTCTTGCAGGACAGAACCTTTATACTCTATCAGTCTATCTATAGTTTGTTTACTGAAAATGGGAGCTTGTGTTCCATTTATGAGAAACCAAAAAGTCATTGAGTTTGTTCCTAAGAAAAGTTGTGATGGTCTATTTAAATTTACACCTTTGTAATACTCTCCATACTATCTCATTATATGTTTGTCCGTTTCAGCTAAGCATTAGTAATGACAATGATGATGTTTGCAGGATCCTTTTTTGCACCTGACTGGCCCTTCTGGTGCAATTGTCGCTGACGAACCTGTTGACTTTGAAGTCGAGCTAAAGATAAAATTTGGAACAGATCAGTCCCAAGATATAGCATTGATCAGTGATACTAACCACTACACTTCTAGAGGTGATGCTGCTTTTTTCTCTGGCCGCTCTTGTTCGGCAACATTGAGGCTTGAGACAGTTCCTAGAGCGGCCCAGGCAACTATATTGTCTATTCGAGTGGTTGGAGGAGTGTCTCTTTTCGAATTTGGAGGCCGGGTTGCTTGCTCGTTCTCTACTGAAAAGTATGTTGATCCCACATGCGAGCAAGTTGTGCTGGTTGAGTCTGCTGAAAAGATTCCTGAGGATGATGGTTACCTTCCACTGTCAAGGAAGGTTGTTACGGCAGGACTACAAGGAGGATTGCAAGTTGCCATACAAGCCTATGGGGGATCTCACCGTCCATCCGTATCCGGTCTTCTTTACTTCCCTTCCCAGTATTGCAGGGTAAGTCGGCGCACATGCTTGGTCGGTGGCTTTGAGGTGGAGGTAACTGTTGCTTGGTCGTGGTTTGTACAGGACAAGATGGAAATCTTGTGATCAAGGGATCTACTACCTATCTTGCCCATCTACTATGTATCACTACTCGTTAGTAAAAATGTTTGAATTATTTGTATGTCGGCCAGCTATGCAAGTAGGATGATGTCCCAACCGTTTGTGTTAATCTGATCTGACTATTAACTTATTGTAGGGAGTACTACTGTATGTTATACTTTGGGTTGGTTTGTACCTTTAGTGCATTTAATTTCCCACCTGCTGCCATTGATGGGTTGTTTGTGAACATTGCATAATGCTCCTCCGTTCACAAATATAAGTCTTTCTGGAGATGGGTTAATGGTGGAGGTTTGGTCCGTGTTCCTCACTGCTGTGTGCGGTGTCGGTGGTCCATGACTGTGGCTACGACGGCGAGGTGCTGTGGCAGCGGCGGTGTGAGGCTACAAGGATGCTGCCGCCCCAATCCTTGAAGGTGTGGAGATGGGTGTTGATACGGATGAAAATCTTGCCCGGTTTTTGCCGGGCCGGTGGCGATGGCACCTGCGGGTGCCTTTTCCCTCCTTGGAGGCGTCGCCGAGGCGTGCAACCATCTTCCTCCCTCGCTTGGCGTTGGTTGTGGTCTTCGGGCGAAAGCCTTGATTCTCGGAATCGGCACGATGGCGGCATCCTCAGACGATGTCCCTCTGTTGGGAGCATTGTGTCTGGAGACACGGTTTGGAGATCCTTCGTCGTGCTCCTCCGGTGTTCGTCGCTGTCCATGATCGATCTTTTGTGGCGAAATGTACGGCCGCCGCTTGTAACTCCAAGACGTTGTCTTTCTCGGGTATGATCGAGTCCCGCCATACACCTGCCACCTCCTTTAGGCATAATGGGTGGGTGGTGCGTCGACAAGGGAAGCTCGATGGGAGTTGTTGTTTCTTCGTATGTGACCGGTGTTGGTCGAGACGCGGCTAGGTGTTTTCTGTTTTGGACAGGCGGTCTTGCATTGTAGTTGTTATGGTTATGGGTGGAGTGGAGTTCTCACTACCCTGGTTGTTTGCAACATGTTGTAGTCGTCTTGTATTTGTAGTTCTCTCTTCTTCTATAAAGCTAAGGTACGCAATTTGCGTACTTTCGAAAAAAATGACTATATACGGAGCAAAATGAGTGAATCTGCACTAAAAATATGTCTACATACGTAGATTGTAGTCCATTTAAAATGCTAAGAAGACAAATATTTAGGAATGGAGGGTGTATATTATTAATCCCTGCTCGATTCTTCTCCTCTTTAATATTGTGAGGCACAGAAATTAGAGGCTCTCCACTTGTCACTTGGTCTTTCATAAACTACTTCACTTACATTTTACAACACCCTTCTAAGTTGCCGCTGCTACCTAAGAGCATCTAGAACCGGTCGACCCGTCCAGTCACTAATTGGTCATGATTTTTTGGCTCAGACGGGCTCCTTAAACGGACTTCAAACGCTCGGGCTGACCGGCACCCTCCATATCCGGCTCAAATATGAGGCGGATAGGGGGGCGTCCGGGCACGCCCGCCACATCGGACCTAACGGCGCGGTCTCACCACAAATTGCACCAAACCCATCCCCTGACTTGTCGGATTTATTTGATATCTCCTCTCTTCTTCCTCCTCCGTGTCGTCCGTCTCGCAGCTCCGCCGCTGCGCGTGCTCCGTAGTCGTTCCTAGCCTCTATGCTCCAGCTTCGACAAAGCAGTTATGTCGCCGCCAAGAACGTCTTTGTCGGCCCGGACGCGAGCGAAGTACTTCCGGCAACTCTCTGGCTCCGCCTTGCGCTTGATGTGTTCGGCGCATTGTCTGACCGGATTTTTGTGAGATTTCGTTAGGGAAAACGATGGATTCCGATGCTTCGTCGGATGAGCAGTATGGACCGATGGAGCTTGATCAAAGGAGGATTGGGTATCCTCAATTTGAACATCCAGAACCAAGGACTGCTCATGAAACACCTACATAAATTTTACAACAAGCATGATGTGCCTTGGATTACTTTGGTATGGGATTCTTACTATGATAACATTGTGCCACAGGCCACTGTACTGACTGGGTCTTTCTGGTGGAAGGATGTTTTTAAGTTGAATGACATGTATAAAGCCGTTGCATCTGTTCACATCAACATGGGTGATACAGCTTTGTTCTGGCATGATGCATGGCATCTGGCTGGTTCTTCTATGCCTTTAGTAAGGAGGCTCCCGAGGTTGTTTTCTTTTGTTAAAGATGATAAAGTCTCGGTCATGGATGTGCTCCAAACTCAGGACCTCGTTTCCATGTTCTATCTGCTAATCTGCCCATCTCCCAGGAGGCTGCTACTGAATTGCATATTCTAGAAGGTTGGCTTCTGAATTTATAGAGAGACTCATTTCTTCCTGACCAATGGGTTTGGCCTTCCAGATCAGGGTCTTTCTCAGCTAAAGGTTTTTACACTGTCATGCATTCACACATGCCTACAATTCAGCCATGCAAATGGTTATGGAAGAGCAGATGCACAATGAAAATTAAGGTCTTTGGCTGGCTGTTGTTTTTTGATAGACTCAACACTAAGGATATGTTGGTAAGAAGGCACTGGAGATCACCAAATGATGATAATCTTTGTGTTATATGTAATGCATATGTTCATGAACATAGGATACACCTGTTTTTTCAGTGTAACTTTAGCTGCAGGGTTTGGAATTATCTTCGAATTGATTGGACACAGGGTTCTGATATCCAACAATGCATATTTCAATCCAAAACCAGTTTTGGGCATCCTTTCTTCTTTGAGGTGATGCTCACAGCAGCATGGAACATCTGGATCTTAAGGAATGGAAAGATCTTCAGAGGGGAGCAAGCTCGTTTTGCTGCCTGGAAATGTAAATTTGTACATTGATATTCTCTTGTTAGCTCATAGGCTTAGTGATAACATCAGAAGACAGCTCATAGCTTGGGTCAATGCCCTGTTGTAAATATAGGTAGGTTTAAGGTAGGTTCTAACTTTTGAACTTCAGCACCTTCCAAGTGCTTGTATAGTGTTGGATTGTTTTATTTTCTAATAAAGGGCTGTGGGGTTTTACCCCACAGTAAATATTCAAAAAAAAATTATGGTCCCTTTAGGGTGCTCAACGGAGTAGAAAATGTGGCTTAAAAATTGTTCCCGACAGAAACTACACAAAGCCATCCAGTCTTTCATATTAGCCGGTTGAAGAAGCACATTGGCCCAACTGTTGTCCCTTATGCAGATCTACCCTTATTGGTCCAGATGGTCAAGTCAGAACTGAGCCTGTGCTAGTTTTGGAGGTGAGGCAGGTACCAGAAACAATTTGCCGATGGTACAATGGTTGGTGTAGTGGGAAAATCTTCCACCTGACGATGCTTAGTGGGAGGACGCCGGTTTCGTCAAACACATGTTTCTAGGGTTCTTCAAGAAGACGATGGAGACCTAGCGCAAGCACGGCCCACCTTGAGGACAAGGTGGTTTTCCATAGGAGAGTATTGTCAGGTGTCATGCCGCTTCATTCAGTTAACTAGCGGCTCAGATGCATCGTCGGGGAGATCCAATGGCTCGTGGTACTCGCCGTGTTGTCACTCTGTCGCTGTAGAGTTTAATTACTGTATCGTTTCACGCTTTGCCCGGGCTATATAACAGCCAAGCCTGACCCCTCAGTGGGTATGCCATTTCTATGTGATCAAAATCATTTTATACGTTACAACTCATAGCTACAGTAAACTATAATGGAGATTTTCTCTTTGCTTGGTTGATCCGATCCCTAAATTCATCCAAAACCCTAGCCTCAAGCTCGATCTCCTCCTCTGGTCTCTTACGGGGTGTGACAATCCCGCGGGTGAGGGCTAGGGTTGGGCTGGTGGACGCTGCTACCGGGCGGTAGTGGCACAACCGCGCCGCCGGCGTGCTGCCGGGGCACAAGGGAGCGCGGGGGCGCCTAGCTACCAGGGGACTCGCTTGGCATAAAGCAAAATATTCTTTCGCCTTTTACTCTTGTTTCTAGTTACCTGTTTCTGAAGTGCAAAACGCAGGACATCCAAAGTTCAGTATTCTGAACTGAATCTCGACAGGTACTGGAAATAAATTAACAAGTAATTATATACAAAAAAGTTATACAAAAGAATTCGCCAGTTTAGCAAATGGCAACTAATAAAGCCATGGCCTAGAGGACTTCACTGGACCAGCTACAGTTTTAGCTGAATGTTTGTGTCCTTCCGGCATATATTGCTTTCTTCAATCAATCTTCTTTCACAGGATGTAAAATTTCGAAAATGTTTTTGTCCTTATTCGAGATGTCATACTAGATCTTAATTCTCTACATTGGTTAGAGTATAAATAACTACAAATTTTGTATCTACGGTTTGCTTATTAGCTAACCTATGATTTGAATCCAGCCTAGGCAGAAGCTATTTGGTTATCCTATTCCGACTTCCACCTATGTCCTGAGTATAACATCAATTGCAGCATTTATATGCTTCTACTGATTTCAGTGCTTCCTCATGGTTTTAACATGTCACGGATGGAGAATCATCATCCAGCTACATCTCCTTTAGGATTAGGAGACATTCCCCTTTAAAGACCTGATGAACATGCCTATACATGGGAATGCAAATCCCCCAGGTGAAACCCAGCGAGAACAAATACTGAATAACTCATGTGCTTTTCTTATGCTACACTACCAAACTGTTCGTGTTAAGCAAAGCCTGGCATCACCTCACCTGAAGTAACCAAATTCCATCAGAAATCTTTCTGGGATGACTTGCAAGCCATCTTGATGTTTGCCATTCAAGAGTTATTAAATCTAATCTGGATTAGCATCCTATAATTTTGAATTGTTTGCATACCAGGGAAGTGATTTATTTCGACATGGCAAACATACCTGCAGCACATACAGGAGATGCTTGCTGTTATAAATGACAAAATAATGCAAGTATCTTGATAGCTCCATGCCAACACATAGCTCAATGGAGGAGTATCTGCAGTTCTTCCAGTGTATGTTCTATTTGCTTCATGGATGACCAATATTCAAGATTATTTATGAAAGTAAATTCACTGTAATTCTATTGAGTTAATGTTGAGGATAATCTTATGTTTTCTGCTAATAAGGATATTCACCACGGGCATCCAGTGTAATGATCTCATCCACAAGATTGCCCTCAAGAACCCAAGAAAGTTGGCGAGCTCTCTGACATCGTCAACAACCGTAGGACTTGCAGATCCAGGGGTGACAAGGGGAAGGAAGAGCAAGGCTCCAGAGTCTTCCAAGCCCAAGGACCGCACTGAGTCGTCTAACAAGAAAAACAAGCAGCAGAAGCGTAAAAGGTGAAGAGGAGAGGGCATCTCTGCCTGTTTATTATATGTATGATATACTTTTCTGCAAGAAATTACTCCCTCTGTAAAGAAATATATGAGCGTTAGTAATGATCTAAACGCTCTTATATTTCTTTACAGAGAGAGTATTAGCAAAAAATGGATGGAGTGGTCAGGGATTTTTGGTGGACGAGACTCTCCAACTAAACCTCTTTATCTTGAGGCCTGAGCAGAGATTTGCAAGTCAAAGAAGAGAAGAAGCATGGGCGTCAGGTATCCGGAAGCAGTGAATAAGGCTTTACTTTGTCAATTCGGCATGGAAGATTGTGTTTAAATATCACTTCAATATTAACAGGAGAAGAATCAAGCTGCATTGAGAGCGGCTTCATCTGCTTCTTGTGTTTCAGATCTAAGAAGTAAGGCAGGAACTCGAATACTAATACACTGGAACTCCAGCGAGCACAAACAGATTCAAGCGACTTCAGTTGCAGAATCTGCATTGCAGGTGGAAAGCCCAAGCCCTAGGTATTGGCCGCTCAAACTGGAGAAGCTACCTTCTTAACTGACTATCAAACTCTTACCGAGGCAGCAGCACGAAAAGCACCCATGGCATTGAACAATCAAATCCAATCTGCATCAGTTTCTTCGGTATTACCCGAATCTTCAAAATCAAAAGGGAGAACAATAAGCTAGCTCATACACATTGCTCAGGATGTATAGTTTTTTCCGACCAAGGCAGTCTGCTTCTACTTGCCCAGTAAAAAGCTGCTTATCAGATCCCTGAATGTGGAAGCACATTGATGTTAGTGACTTGGCTTTTAGTTTCATAAATTTCAAGTTGCAAAAAAAGAAGGTACTGCCTCTGTAAACAAATGTAAGACGTTTTAGATCACTATTTTAGTGATCGAAAACATCTCATATTTGTTTACAGAGGGAGTATCTATGAGCTGCTTGAACTATAGAATGACTGTCCTTGGTGACAGCTTTGGTTCGATTGTGTTCTGTGACTTGAGAACTCCAGCCATCTACCATACCTGGAGGACACGACACTGGATACTCCAAATTAATTTTCTTCCTTGGGAGTAGATTTGCACCCTTGCAGTCACCACCTTATGATGATTTGGTAGATCACCAGCTCAGAGGCCTGACTTATGCAATGTCCACAAACAACCCATCAATGGCAGCAGGTGAGAAATTAAATGCACTAGATGTACCAAGCAACCAAAAGTATAATAACATATAATACAATATGGTATAGTCAGATCAGATAACACAATATAAAGTCGATACACAAATAACATAGTACAATAAGTTATAGTCAGATCAGATAACAATAGAGAGTCAATACACAAATAGTTGGGACATCATAAGTCTTGCATAGATGTCCGGCATACAAATAACATACCACTAGCAAACATATTAGATGGGAAGACATCACACTACGCCTGGGTAGAATAACCCTCAATTAGTAAATCCATCTTGTCCCGGACAAGCCGGGACCAAGCAACCGTGATGTCCACCTTAGTGCCATAGACAGAACAACTACCCATAGTTATGTTGCAATCCTGGGGATGGAATTCAACATCAACTGGAGGTTCAGATCTCCCGTATGCTTGTATGCTAACTTTCAGCCGTCCTTGCAATTGTACTGACACAACACTCCTTGAAAGAGAAATATACCCATCTAAACCATCTTCAGGAATTTTTTCAGCGGAATCAAGCAAAACAACTTCATCACACGAGTGATCATCAACCTCGACAGAATACAAGGAGCAAGTAACTCGGCCTCCGAATTCAAAAGGCCACCTCCCTTCACCAACACGAACCCCCACGATAGTTGCCTGGACCGTTGCAGCAAGTCGCCCAAGGCTCAACTCTGCACTACACATGGAGCCATGGAAGCATAAAGGTTGCTCTGCACCGTCGTAACGCTTGCTAAGACTCATCAATACTCTGTCTTTGATCTCATCATCGCCCTCAATAATTCTTAGTTCGACTTCGAAGTCAACAGGATCCTCCGCTACAATTGCACGAGAAGGGCCAGTCAAGCATAGGGAAGAGTCCTGCAAGGATTATATCATCATTTTAATTGAATGGAATATTTTGCTGAAGAAGGAAAAAAACACTTCAAAAAAACAGAGGAAAGTGAAGAGAAAACTAAATCTACAACAATGATTACATTTTCAGTGAGTACTTGGCCCCTAAACTCTGACCGACAGAAGAGAAGATTGCGGTTGCGGTCCACGGTGTCCCGGGCAGCGACCTCACCATATACATAGAGTGGCCACTTGAGGTCATTGTGCAGTCGAGTAATTTTGAAGGAGTAGATCTGAACGGTTGTCCCAGTGAAAGCAGCAGGGGGCAGGGTGATACCAGGTGTGTAGTGTGTAAACTGCATAGGACTCAAAGTGGCTGCAGCAACAAAGCCAAAGTGTGAGCTGTCATCAGAAATCTAATAATATGATGACTAAATTGAGCCATTCTCTTACATAAAGAACAATGAGGGAGGAAGTTGGTGATCTACTTACTGTTATCTTGGAACCGACCGCACTGTCCAGTCTTGCTGATGTTTGTATCTTCCCAGTACTTACGGTGGCTGGCAAAAAGTAGCAGCTCGGTATCCATATCCTCTTTGAGAAGCTCCATTGGGGATTTTGTTCTGTTCTGGTCAGCGCCCTGCTCCACAACAATCTGCTGCTGCTGCTTCTTCTTCTGCTTCCTCTGCTTCCTCTCCATCTCCGCCTGCCTCTCTGCCTCCATCTCCCTCTCATACTCCTTCTCGTCGTCCTCTGTAAACATCATCGCCAACTCATTTTTGTAATGGTTGGGCTTCTCCCTGACATTGGATGAGAGACGAAAGAATTCGTGGGACCGCATCATCTCAGCCTTCTTCCTAGTCTCCTCCTGTTCAGCCTGATTCTCCTTCTTCCATCCCATCTTCTCTTGCTCCTCCTCCTTCTTCCTTTCCATCTTCTTGGTGGTATCTTCTTCCACCTCCTTGTGCTTCTTCCTCTGCTTCTTCTCATCCTCCTTACTCTTGTCCACCCCAGCATCGTAGATATGCGTAGAGATTTGCATTAATTTGGATGTTGTCCTAACCAGCTCGTCGGCCTGGCACGAGGAGACTGGGGCACGGGAACTCCAAAGAAAATGTGAGGTAGATAGCATCCGGTGACCCAAGTGCTCTATGTCTTGGAGGACAAAATCGAAGTAGTTCCCGAGTTCTTTCTGGACGTCTCTAACAGCGTGGGGTAAATGTACCTGCTCTGAGCCGGACTGGAGGATACTGGAGGCTGGTTTGATAATGCTCACGGCCATGGTTCCCCTTCCAGCGACCATCCACTCTGTTGCTGTTGGAGAGACCCTTTCCCTCCAGTAAGAAATGCTGGGAGTAAGAGAACCGGCCAGATCTTGGCGCTCCCTCTGCAGGGACAGGATCTCCTCCATCAGCATACATATCTCAGACTGATGTTTCCCGGATCCCCTGCCCATCTCCAACTCCCTGCCCACGGACGAGATCTGCCCGCTATCCATCTGAATCTCTTCTCCCCGCCGCCGCCGCTCTCTTTCTCGCCTCCGCCGCCGCTTTCCTTCGTTGTTAGTACTGACCTAGTTAGGGTTTCGACCAAGTGGCCGGCTTGGGTGGGATTCCACTACTTGTTCAGTCCAACAGATTCTTGGGCTCACAGTCAAGTTCCACCAAGTTTGGAATCTCATCTCTCTCTAAAAAAAAGTTTGGAATCTCAACAATCGTTTCATATTTAAAAACAATGTTCAAGATTTAAAACATAAGCATTCTCTGAATTTTTATTCCATGAACAAATTTTGAATTTGAGGAATAGTTTTTAATTTCGATGAAATTTTTTGTATCTAATGAGCATTTTTTTGAATTTTAAAGATCATTTTTATTCTATGGCCAATTTTTAAATTCGTTCAACAATTTTTTAATCAATGAAATTTTTTAAATTTGATGAACCGAAAATGTTCAAGATTTAAATATGATGTTCAATAATTTTAAAAAATCACAAAATGACAAGCGAAAATGAAAAAAGGAAGGGGGAAGAACAAATAAAAAGAAAAAAGAAAAAAGAAGAAGAAGAGAAGAAAAAACCCCAAGAAACAACCCAACTCAACTCCCACCCGGAACGCAACGGGACAAAAATGGATATGAAGCCGACCAGGCCCAGTAACGCCCGCTTTCTTCTAGGCATCCCAAGTAGACAGCCAAGAACAGCACGGGATAGAGTTGCATAGGCTCTTTTTGGTTTTTGCCGGGTGAGCTTCTCGTCGTTATGTCTTTCTCTGGTTCCAAAGCACGTTGGCTGGATAGGCCCTTCGTATCCCCGATTAGACTAGTCACAATGAGTGTAACATAGAATGTTACTAGCTAGTCTATGTTACTATCTCTATAGTGAGGAATAACAATGTGTATAGTAACATGCAACATTTTATTTATTAGGCTATAGACTCATCTTGCTTTAAGATGTGTGAAGCTACTCATACTACTAGTAAGACTACCCACAATAGAATTAACATAGGTAGTAATATCACACATATCTAGATAAAATGGATGATGTGGCAAGTAATAAATGAAAAAAGAGAGACATGCGGTAATATAGCTAGTTACTACTAGTATGAGTAACATCACACATATCAAGGCAAGATGAGTCTATAGCCTAATAAATAAAGTGTTGCATGTTACTACACATATTGTTACTCCTCACTATAGAGGTAGTAACATAGAGTAGTAACATGGGCATGTTACTACTCTATGTTAGAGCCTGTTTGGTTCCAAACAAGTCACCAACTTATAAATCGAAAAGTGAAAAAAGTGACTTATTTTGCCAAACGGACCCGACTTATAAGTCACCCCAACTTATAAGTCATAAGTTGCTCCACCCCAACTTAAAACTTATAAGTCACCCCCTTTTGCGTGGGTCCCATCACCTTTACATTAAAAACAAGGTGGAAAGGTGTGGTCAGGTGACTTATAAGTCAGGTGATAACCAAACAGGCGTGACTTATAAATCATTGGTTTTAAGTCACGTGACTAGCTATGTTACCACTTTCCTCTCTTTCTTCATTTATTGCTTGCCATACCATCTATTTTATCTAGATACGTGTGATTTTACTACCTATGTTACTCCCATTATGGGTAGTCTTAGATGATGATGACCTCACATAATGGCATCCCAACCAGAGACGTTAGCCTAGAACTCAAGTGTTGGCCATAATTATAAGAAGAAATCGTTGGATTTGATGGGATCCTCATATTATCCTACTGCTATTTTTATTTTTTAAGCTATATTCCATTTTTTGATGCAATTATAGCGTCTTTTCTATCTTAAGTGCAAGATACACCAAAAGAGAAAGATTGTCGGCAGCTGAAATTCTAACCTGAAAAAGCTACAACAGAGATGTTGGAATATTAGCACTTTTCCAATTAGACTAATCCACGAGTAAACAGTAAGCATGGCATAAACGGTATGCATCTCGTAGTGATATCTAAGCATACTAGCATGTACAGAACATAGAAGCGAACCATCTATGAGTAGCACATATACGGCTAGCACAAGTATGAGTAAATGAGGAATGAACAAATCATACTCTTCGGTTGGCCAGGCCAACGCGGCGGCGGCAGCAGCCTCGGTGTCGTCCGTGGCCTTCTTCTTGGCGGCGGCGGCGGCGGCAGCCTCGGTGTTGTCCGTGGCCTTCTTCTTGGCGGCGACGGCGGCCATGGTGTCGATACAGAGGAAGTAGTGGAAGCAGAGGCGGAAGGAGCTGGGGACGGATCAGGGGCAGTCGCGTCGAGACGCTCCCCAAAAACCTTATTGCCGTTCTCCCGGGCAGGATCGCGAACGACAGGGTTCCGGAGGCACCTGCTCTCCCGACCAACCATGCATGCGGTCGTCGGGATGGGGTCGCCGGAGGCAGCACAAAGTGAGAAACAGTAGATGACGGCTAGCTTACGCGAGAGGGAGTGAGTGAACCGAACTAGGTCACTCCACTGGTCAGAGCCTTCTTATATAGTCCGTCGGGTAGGAAGTCGTGGGCCTGGGCGGAGGCCCACGACTGAGTCGACGCACTCCCGGGAAGGGAGTCGTCGTTCCGGAGAAGGGTCGCACACCCGCGAATGGAGTCGATGAATCCCGGGAACACAAGTCAGCCCACAGTCCAATGTCTCAGATAGTGGCCCACCTGTTAGCGACTCATTAATTAATCCTTGATTAATTAATTCATTCTTGAGCGGGAAAATAAGTATTGGCTCGGCTCATTCCCGCAACCCGCAACCCGCGGCGCGCGCGCGGCTTGATGAGGCGAGGCGGGCGGCGGTGGAGGAGGAGCATGCGTGTACCACTCCTCTTCCCAAGCTCCCAATGGCAAGTGGTAGAGCAGCCCTTATAAAGGGGTCTCAACTCTCCTCAACTAGCAAGGTGGGACTAAACTTCCCACCACCTGCCATATCATACATGGGCCTCAAGATTAACCAGGAATCATTATTCATATGGGCCTAAAGCCCATCTATGATTCAACAATCCCCCACCAGATCTCGAGGCACATAAGTTTGTCAACTGTTCCAATCAATGTTTGATATATCAGAAATTTCAGTGGAGATTGTTAAGTTGAACTTCCACCTAGAGCAACAGGATTAGACTTCTTCACAACTGAACAATGGACTATGCCTTGAATTGTCAGTTTGGCGTGTAGAAGTTTCGCCTATTGTCAGCTGATACATGGCTTCCGAAGGCTAAACCCCACGGTTGGAGCTTATTAGTCATACTCCGTATCTTCTCATGAGCTTCCTAAAGATTACGCAATCTCATAGACTATGACCAGCAGTCGGGCTCACATAGATGTGTTCCTCCCAAGAGTGTTCTGTAGGTTAGCATCTTTCTTACACAAGCTTTGGAGCACATTAAGACAAAACTCAGTCTGCCTTACAGAATTGAGAGTATTACTGCATCTCCAACAGAGTGGGTTTATTAAGGATAATCTTCTTAGTTGACCGCTGAATTGTTTTCCCAGGTCCTAATTCACGGGATCTTCGATCACATAGGTTGGGTTACCCCCATGGCAACTTACGTGGGTCTCATACCCATCTCCCTCGATGCATTTTCTATCACAATATGTAATAGCCCTTTGTAAAAGGGTCTGCCAGATTCTTAGCCGTCTGGATATAATCCAACGGTATCACTCCGGAGTTTCTTGATTTCCTGACAGATTTTAATCTTCTTCTTATGTGCTTTGTGGATTTCATGTTATTCTTTGAACTCTTAGCCTTGGCAATCATCGTTTGATTGTCACAGTTCATAAGGACATCCGGCACTGGTTTATCAACCACCGACAAATCCATCAAAAGCTCACAAAGCCATTCTGCTTCGACGCATGATGTGTCTAATGCTGCGAGTTCTGCTTCCATAGTTGATCTGGTTAAGATCGTCTGCTTGCAAGACTTCCAGGAAATAGCACCACCACCAAGTGTGAAGACATGTCCACTTGTGGCTTTCATCTCATTAGCATCAGATATCCAATTCAAATCACTATACCCCTCAAGTACCGTCGGGTAAGAATAGTAAATTTCATAATTCATAGTACCTTGCAAGTAACGCATCACTCACTGAACAGCATGCTAATGCACATCTCCTGGATTGGAAACAAACCGGCTCAGTTTAGACACAACAAATGATATGTCAGGACGAGTAGCACATGCTAGATACATCAGTGAACCAACCACTTGAGAATATCTCAATTGATATAAAGTCGTGCTTTCGAACTTTCGAATCCGCGCGCTAGGATCATATGGTGTTGCAGAAGGTTTGTAGTCCGAATATCCAAAACGGCTCAAAATCTTCTCAACATAGTGGGATTGCAAAAGTGTAATTCCACCCTCAGAATTTCCCAGTAGCTTGATGTTCAAGATAACATCAGCCACGCCCAGGTCTTTGATAACCCACAAGTATAGGGGATCACAACAGTTTTTGAGGGTAGAGATTCAACTCAAATTTATAGATTCAACACAAGGGGAGCCAAAGAATATTTAAAAATAGGTGAAGTAGCAAACTTAGGATCACATTTCATTCTATCATTCAGATATTTTTCTTTATACTTGTGTAATAATTTCTCTAGATCATCTCTATCATTGCAAGAAAGAATATCTCTAGTTGTTTCGTCACTCATAACATAACCTTCCGGTACCTTAGGCAATTCATATCTAAGAAGACTAGTTCTAGCAGGTGTTTCAGGAGATTCAGTTTCAAGCTCATCATCGGGTTCAACAACCTCATGTTGTATAACTCTAGCAATTTGTTTATCAAGAAATTCACCCAATGGCACATCATCATTATCAAGCAAGGTACTAACATCATCATAAGCATCATTCATAGTATAAGTAGCATCATCAATAACTTGCGACATATCAGAATTAATAGCATGTGGTGGTGTTGCAAGTTTACTCATAACAAAAGGTGAATCTAAAGCAAAACTGGATGGTAGTTCCTTACCTCCCCTCGTCTTAGAGGGATAAATCTTAGTCT